TTTTTTTGAGGCGGGAGTCTCACTCTGCCACTCCGTCATCCAGGTAGTGGCGCAATCTTGGCCCATTGCAACCTCCGCCTCCCGAGTTCAAGCGATTCTCCTGCCTCAGCCCCCCAAGCAGCTGGGATTACAGGCACAGGCCACCACGCTTGGTTAACTTCTCTGTGTGTGTATTTTTAGTAGAAATGGGGTTTCACCATGTTGGCCAGGATGGTCTCGAATTTCTGAGCTCAAGTGATCTGCTCACGCAGCCTCCCAAAGTGCTGGGATTACACGCGTGAGCCACCAAGCCTGGCCACACAGCTACCTTTCTTGTGAATCTTTCTGGAATTCAAAATTAATTAAAAAGGAACACATAAAGTGCATCCACATATTCATAAATCCCTTACAAATGTATACAAATGAAATTACGTGATTTAGTGTTTTGAACCTTGCTTTATCCACTTAGTAATAATAAATGAGATATTTCCCTGTAATCCCAGCACTTTGGGAGGCCGAGACGTTGGACCACTTGAGGCCAGGAGTTCAAGACCAGTCTGGGTAACATGGTGAAACCCCATCTCTACTCAAAATACAAAAATTAGCCGGGTGTGATGGCGCCCGCCTGTAATCTCAGCTACTCGGGAGGCTGAGGCAGAGAGTCGCTCGAACCCGGGAGGCAGAAGTTGCAGGGATCCACTATCGCGTCACTGCACTCCAGCCTGGGCGACAGAGTGACTACCTCTTAAAAAAAAAAAAAAAAAAAAAAAAAGACAACTTTCACTTAGAGCTGATGCTACTCCATTGCGTGCAGTTCCTAAAATGTGATCAGAGGGACTGGGGTAGGTATGAGACAAGCCATTTTAAGTTGAGGGGAATTAAGGGGATCAGATTCGGAGGGATGGGCCAATTTTGCTGGCACGTAAGATATTAGTAAGATGCCTTAGGGCCAGAGGCCGGGATTTTGCACTTCCTTTACTTTTTATACTGGAGAGGAATAAGGAAGTAAGTTGGTTTGGGTGGAATATGTGTTGTCTGAAGAAGGGTTTAATAGGCTGAGAAGCACAAGGTAACTGACATTCGGATCTGGAACTGAAAAAGGAAATCTCGGGTTGGAAAAACTACAGGGCTGGTTAGTTTTCTACACACTTTAAACGGCCTAGTCATCCCTGCCCCCTCGTCATTTTAAGAGAAGCCCTTTCTTTATTCACTTTGCGCTGCGGAGGCTTCATTTCGCGCTTTTTTTTTCCTAGGCCTGGGGCTAGGGCGGATCCTTTGCGCCCGTCACCTAACTACGCCTCTCAACCCCCTCCTCGCCCCCGCGCCACCGGAAATCCGAGGTCTGGGACCTTCTACTAGGCACTCTAAAGGGCAGTGATAGGACACCGCGGCCGCCAATCAGACCTCCCAGATACCCGTATGTGAGACGGTGCGCGATACAAAGGCGAGTTTCCACCCAGAGGGTTGTTCCGAACAATGACCAATAAGCATTCCTCAGGCGATAAGTGACAGGAAAGATCACCAATTATAACCTAGTTTCGCTCACGCATGTGGAAATTCTCCTGGTTATTCTAACCCACTGCTAATTGTGATTGGATAGAATTCTGAGGGGCGGTAGAACTGTCTAATTAGCAGCGGGAGCGAAAAAACGCACAGCCAATAGGAAGATTCTCAGGAGTGGGGCGGGGATTAGGCCTTCGCCTCGGCGGCAGAGGAGACTCGGGGGCCATTTTGTGAAGAGACGAAGACTGAGCGGTTGTGTCTGCGTTACCGACCTCGAGCAGCAGTCGGCTTCTGCACGTAGAACTCGGGAGTAGGAGACTCAGAATCGAATCTCTTCTCCCTCCTCTCTCCTGGTAAGTGGAGAGGGCGGACGCAGGGAGGGCGCTGGGTGTCTCTGGAACCAGGGGGTGTGGGAGACAAAATGAGGGAACCCTTCCCCCTGCTGACTAACCAGGCCCTCGTTTATTCTGTTTGCGTTGGGGGATTAGGTCTGAAGCGGGAGGCAGTTTCACAGGCCTCAGCCTCTGCGTAGATTTAACCTAGTGTCTTCTAGGCCACGATTGGCAGGGAAAATGTCCTTTTTTCGCTCTTCCTGTGTTAACGGCTGCTTTCCTTTCATTTTCTACGACCGTGAGGACTCCGGAATCATGAAAATGAAGATCGCGATGCTCATTAATATAGTCGAAGTTAACGTAGCGCCGATGTCTTCTATTACCTCCATTCTTCTTACATGTAAAAATCGAGGGAGGGGGAGGGGGAAGGTTACCAAGTAGATGCACCACGAGCCTTTAATCCTGGATCGTGCCGCGTGGCCTACGAGAAGGGTTTAACAAAAGATTTACAATTGTACTGATAACTTTTTATTTTATTTCTCTTTATGAGCAAATGATGGAGCTCGAAATTGTTAATTTTACTTATAACTGTAAAACGGAATGTTGTGATCTGATTATATTAATTACAGCTGACTTTTCATCTGCAGGTTACAAAACACTTGAAATATATAAGTTAGTGGAACTTTGCTTGAGGTAGGTATTAACTCTCTTTCTCAGAAACTGAGGTAGAAAAGTGTTGGTTGTTAGGGGAATATTAAGTCATTGGCAGAACTAGTAAGGAATTTGACCACGAGGTCAGTCTTGTGATTTTTACCTAGTTAATGGAATACCGGGTTCTAAAAGTACTGTATTTGAATCTTTGTAAGAACCTGATGACGGAAACCACGGGGTAACTGGAAATTCCCAAATTGCACTTAGGAAAAATACTACGATACTTGAGAATTTGTTATTAATGTCACTTTCTAAGCGTAAGATGACAAAATTTGACTTTCAGGATATTCTGGCATTAGTTTTCCCGTCCACCTAAACTTCGGCACAGATTCACAGCTACATTATATTAAGCAAATATTACGGTGCTTATTACTTGCTAGGTGCTGAAATTTGATAGAAAAATTTACGTTAAAAAATATGTAATCTTCAGTGTCACATTTATCTGGGAAATCGATTTTTATTTCTCACATGAGATTTGGTTAAGCTTATTTTTCACAATCTGTTAATCTCAAACTAAAGCTGTTGAGAACAGTTTAACTCCGCAGGGTAAGAAATTCATACATAAGGCAACCTGTTTGATGGGAAGTAAAATAAGGATCAAAAACATCGCGAGCCCTTATGGCCTAAAGGTTTATATTACGCCTGGACTTTAAAGTTTATCATTGTGCTGAACTGTTCGAAATAAATAAGGGCAAAAATTGATTAATTGGGAAATCGTATAGGTAGTAAAAATATAGTGTTTAAGAACAGTTAATAGTAATTGAAATTGATTGAAGGGCATTTTGCCTTTGAGGCGTTAGAAATATGGGTTCCTTCCGGTCAATATGTGTATCCGGGTACGAAAAATTCTTTGAGTTAATATCAGGAACTGTTTACCACGGGATTTATATCACAATTCTAGGTGTGTTCTCAACTAGATAAGCATTTAGTACATTTTCACATTGGCTAGCGGGAAAAGTGTAAGAAGGATGGCTAAGTTGCAGGTCTTCTGAACTTTTTTCCCCATGCCTGTGCCACTCTTGGGAATACTTGGTGGTTGGTAATTCTTTCTGTAGAGAATTTAAACAGCTTATGTTTGTAATTAAATCTGTAGAGGGTTTGACATGGCATTCGACCTTGTTTTGGATGGAATGGCTGTGCGAAACAAGCAAAGAATAAATTCCAAAGTAGCTAGTTGCTCTAAAAGACTAAGGGGCGAATTATTAAAGCTTAATATTTAAGTGGTGAATGTGAGAGGTGTTGACTGGGAGTGTGTAACAGCTTGCCTAGGAGTTAGGAGAACTACATTTTAATCCTTGCTCACATAAGAGGACTTAAGACTTTTTTTTAACCTATTTGAATTTTTAGTTTCTAATTCAAATTTTTTGTGGCCAGAAGACTAAAAATTGTACAGATACAGTTTTATTATAAGCAGTATATATATATTTTTTTTTTCTTTTTTTTTTTTGGAGACCGAGTCTCTTGTTGTCCAGGCTGGCATGCAATCAATGGCACGATCCTCTGCCTCCCGGGTTCAAATGATTCTCCTACCTCAGCCTCCGGAGTAGCTGGGATTAAGGCGTGCACCACCACACCTGGCTATTTTTGTATTTTTAGTAGAGGCAGGTTTCACCATGTTGGCCAGGCTGGTCTCTTAATTCCTGACCTCAGTGATCCACCCGCCTCGGCCTCCCAAAGTGCTGGGATTACAGGCGTGAACCACCTCACCCGGCCACAGTTTTTTAAGTTAGTAGTTATTGCTACTATTCTAATTACTATTAGAATAGTAATTAGTATTACTACTATTCTAATTACTATTAGAATAGTAATTAGTATTACTACTATTCTAATTACT